TTTGCACACTTGGGTTCTGCTGCCCGGAGCCCCAGTGTGCATGTTGTAGCATTCAGCTGTTTGCAGCTCTGGGAATCCTGTGGGGGAAGAGAATGTCACCTCAGTTGCCACTTCTGTCTCTTGATGTTAATCAAATGGCCAGGTTCGGGCTTGAGTCAAAGTCGGAAAACTATCTGGGGACCAGTTCTCCAGAGGGGGGTGAATCCCTGGCCCTGTCTCCACCTTGGCCCTGGGCTGTGCATCAGATCTCATCTGCCTGCAGGTCTGTGGCTGATCCACAGAGACTCTTTAATTTCCACAAATGAAGTGGAGGGTGGGGAATTGTGAGCCAACTTTTAATGAGTCCTTAAGTGTCACTGAAAATCCCATGGCTTGTTCACTAACAAAACTTGGAATTGGTTTCTAGGGATTATTATGCCAGCAGAGTTTGGCAGATTGTGCTGGGTGCATGTGCCATTGGGCTCCTTAATGCCAGTCATGTCTATGATATTTTTAATCTATCTGTGTTCTCAAGGAAGCATGCCAAGGAGCCCCGACTGAAGGCACAGAGAATGTTGGGTGGGGCTGGAGATGGCCAGTTTAGATGAATTCCAATTGCTGGTTAAGGAGATCCCATGACATCACCTCTGTTGAATTCCCTGGGAACTTGTTTTCCTTTGTTTTCTTCTTGTTCTATAATTTGTTGATTTCATTTATTAAACAGAGATGGGGTGCCTGGGTGACTCAGTCAGCTGAGCATCCACCTTCGGTTCAGGTCATGATCTCGGGGTTTATGGGTTTGAGCCCTGCTTGGGGCTCTGTGCTGACAGCTCAGAGCCTGGAGCCTGTTTCAGATTCTGTGTCTGTGTCTCCCTCTCTCTCTGCCCCTCCCTCCCCATTCTCTCTCTCTCTCTCTCTCTCTCTCTCTCTCTCTCTCTCTCTCTCAAAAATAAATAAACATTAAAAAAATAAGAAATAAAATAAAATAAAAATGAAAAACAGAGACCAGCTGGCCACCAGTGCAAATTGTTCATTTGTCTTCAGGTTCTTAAACACAGAGTAACAGGCAAGAGGATACTTGTGTAGTAACATGGATAGCTTCCTGCTTTAGGGCACAGACTCCCATCAGACTGCCATGGGTTCAAATCCTGACCTTGCCACTTTCTGGCTGTGTAAACTTGGTGAAGTAAATTTGACCTCTCTGAGCCTCCAACTGCAGGTGGGAAAGGAAAGCTTAATGGCACCTGTCTCATAGTGCTCAATGAATGTTGGGGAGTATCAGCACAAAATGAACAAACCTTTTAGAATCTCTACAAGTTAAGAGAGTTTTCTTCGAGCCCAAGTTAGGACAGCTGTCTGGGAAACACGACCTTCACAGAGAGTGCTCCTGAGAATGAACAGTTATTCCAGGGTTGCATCCTTTTTTGTATCTTGCAAAGGCCCAAAAGATTATGGATTATACATTAGCACTAAATGCAGTGCACAGTACATAGGCAGGAATCATGAGTTTTATTGTAAAGGAACACGGGGAACAGGAAGATTGATCGATGTCTCAAGGACAAGATGGTTTTCCTTTAAGCCACTCATTCACGAAGCAGATGCACAATGCGTGACTGTGGGCCATAAATCAGGCAAAGTTTATGTACAGTGATGCTGACTTACAAAGAAATCAAGGGGCGCCTGAGTGGCTCAGTGGGTTGAGCGTCCAACTCGTGATTGGGGCTCAGGTCATGATATCACGGTTTGTGAGATGGAACCCCATGTCAGACTCTGTGCTGATAACTCAGAGCCTGCTTCGGATTCTCTCTCTCTTTGCCCCTCCCCTGCTCATGCACTCTCTCTCTCTCTTCCAAAATAAATAAACATCTTAAAAAAAGAAAGAAAGAAATCAAAAATGGCTTCCCTTACATGTCAGGCCTTTAGAGAGTTTTTCTCCCATCAAGAATATTGTTTTATCACTTATTAGAGTCCTGTAGGTATCTGAGCCAACCAACCACCCCATGTCTTGAGGACTCATCCATTCACTTATTCAACCAACATTGACTGAGTGCTTTCTCTGTTGCAGGCTAGGGAACTCAAGCACAGAACAAGCAAGATGAGGTCCCTGCCCTCCTGGCATCTATCTTGAAGTGGGAAGAACATAATTCACAAGAATAGGAGCAAATAATCAAAGAGTTACACATTTATATTCATGTCTTAAAGGGAATGAAAAGCATGCTGTGATCTTAAAGCACTGTGTTC